CAACGACGAATTTGTACATGCTTTACGACAGTAATCAGCCTAGGAAGTATAAACTAGGTCTCATTAAGTCCTTGTATATACGATCACTTCGGCTCTGTTCTAATGATAATCATTTAAAATCTGAACGCGAACATCTTATTTCGGTACTGAAGAAAAAAAACGGTTACCCAACACATATTACAAGAAGTAAAAGGAAGCAAATTTCATCAACAAAAGAATGAATCATAATAGTCTCAATCCTCAATCTCAGCCTCAACTACAAAAGAAAGAAGTCTTTTTCGTTCTGTCTTACTATGATAATGAAACAACGGAACTAGGTGAAAGAATTCGTAGACTTAGTCAAAAACTTTTGCCGCATTTAAAAATCAATTTAGCCTATCGAAAATCTCTGACTCTGAAATCAGTCCTTTTACCTATTCAGAAAGGAATTGATGAGACAAGGAAAGAAAAGAAACTTGTCTACAAAGTGAAATGTAAAGACTGTGACAAGCAGTACAATGGTGAAACGAATCGTAAAAAGATAACAAGAATAAAAGAACATAAGGATGATATTCGAAATGTAAAAACCACCTCTCTCATTGCGCAACATATGCATACAAATCAACATTCCTTCGATTTTGATAATGTAGAGACACTTTGTTTGGAATCAAATTGGAGACGACGCGTGATTAAAGAAAGTCTTCTAACTCAGATGAGTAATGGAAAATCAAGTTAAACATAATTTGAAAGTCTTTTAAAGTTATAGCACTCACTAGAGTGCATTTTTATTTTATTTTATTTAATCTCTTTCTCGAACAGAAAAAGAAAAATTTAGATAACTTATTCTGGAATACGTTCTCCTTTTTTCTTATTCTTCCAAACGCAAACATATGTTTTGTCTCTTGTGCTTTATATATATGGTGTAAATCTCTGTTAGCTGTACAGTCTATCAATTCTTTTCACTTGATAATGGTAGCAGTAGCTGTCGAAATATCGTGTGGAAGAAAATAAACTTGGTCATAGGAATATGATCTTTACAGTGGTATTATACTTTATTAAACTTCTGGAAAATAGTCAACTGGAACGTTCGTCACCAGTGCTTTTGTCATTTTGACGAAAGTCCGCCAAGTACTTTCGTTATTGACAAATATTTTGTCTGACTTTTGTCAACTGACCGAAGTCCACCTTACGTTGATCCGTTGGCGAAAGTGTGACTGTACTTTTGACAATTAATGGAACTGCACTGCACTTCAATCTACCTTTCTCAACTTCATTCATCATCAGTTTGATGGTTCCAATTGAAACATTGACCGAAACACAAACGGCTACTGTTGTCACTAACGAAAGTCCGACAATCCTTTCGTCATCTGACCAAAACAAGGTGGATTTTGGTCAGTTGGCAAAAGTCAGCCAAGATTTTGGTCAGTGGCGAAAGTACAGGCGACGGACGTCCAGTTGACTTTTTTATTCCGGGTAACTTGAATAATTTACTCAACAATTCGGACTAACAATGAATATTAAGAAAGCAATCATAACGTTGCTAAAATAGTTAGAATAAACGGCAAATAAACAAAGGAAGATAAAGAAGTGCCTAACATCCATTTTGACATGAGCATTGAAAAAATCGAAATGGAAAAATCAAGAAAGGGGACAACGTTTTATATTATGATCAAACATCTTGAGAGATCAAATGCAACTGAAGCAAATTGAAATGAGATTAACAAGGGCAACTACGATATGTAACTTAATCGACGGATAGTATGATATGAAAAAGGTTCATCAGTCGAAGTAAAACTGAGAATATTTCCATCGCGTATACTGTCAGTATTGATGAGCTTTAGAAACTTTTTCAACTCTCAAGAATTTTTTCTTTTTTTCTATTACGAAAGAGCGCTGTGTCGCCGCCCTGTACAAATACTTCGTATACTTAGAGTGAGAAAAGAAGAAAAAACAAAGTGTGCGTAATCCCCTCTTTTTTTACAACTTCCTACGAAACATTCATCACATTTCTAACAGTTTAGCTAAAAATTAATATATACACTAACAAATTAAAAGTTTTTTTCTATTTATCTCAGCAAGATCTCTTTTTGTACTTGTAATTTTAAAAAGATGATCAAGCACATTACGTTTTATTTCTACTTGGTTTGTGTATCATCATATAATTTTATAACATTTACACTATGTACCATTACCATCCTTCCCTATATTATCTCTTGATTATGATACAAACGTATAGTTTTCAAAAGATGGTTCGATTCATTGATTCTTATTAGTATTATTTCAATTTAAAAAGAGGTGTAATAAACAACAACAAATAACACAAATGCACATGTAAAATACAAAAGTCAAATAGACAATAACAATATATTATCGAAAAAACAGACCGTTTTGTTTTGAAAAATGCATTTTAATATAAACATGCAAAACAAATAAATCTTACAAGAAAAAGTATTTGTACAATCCACAAACACTTTATTATACTGGTAATCAGTAAATATCAAAATGAGATTTTGATCATATGCTTTCTATACTAGCAAAACAGAAAACAAACAAAAACAAAAATGAGAGATTCAATAGTCAATGAATTAGAAACACACTCAAATACACTCAGGTGGTAAAAAGAAAAAAAAGACACAAAATACGCTATTGCTAATTAAAGAATCATTCAACATTTACTCTGGACGAATTTGTTCTCTGTTAGATGTGTTTAGCGAGTGAGTATTTGTGAGATCAAGCAGGATAATGAATGAATGATACGAATATCTGGCATTGCAAAACGAAAGAAAATCCATGAGTATAGAAAAACAAAATAAAAAATTTTCTAAGCTTCATCAATATTATCTTCTTTTCGATATAAAAAGAAATAATTGTTCGTGTTGTCTGTTTGTTCGCTATCATTTAAATAATAATTTTTTTCCAAACTATAATTTGGTTTAGAATCATCTTCGATATCGTCAATATTTGTTACATTATTATCATATGATGATGATGATGATAAGGAAGATATCGATTCGTCTAAAATAACATTTTCATCGATTAGATACATTAAATGTCGAAGATGATGAATTTGTTCACGGGATTGGACTAATTCCATTTGTAGTCTAAAAATAGACAAAATAAAAACTATTTAATAACAAGTAATAAAATTCATGATTATCAAAGCTATTTGTGATGACAAGCAGAACATTTGTTTGATGTGTAGGATTGCATGCAAGTTTATACGACGATAATGAACAGGCTCTTTTATACATTGTGTCGATAGAAGGATAGGAGACAGAAGCAACTGTGACACCATTGACTCTTCCCTCAAAAGAAATTTAAAAATTCTTTTTTTGGTCAATTTATACATATTTTGAACTTATTTTTGATCGTTTAACAATTTAAGCAACTATTTGAAGAGAGAAAGAAAAAAAAAGAAGCATTTGTCCCAATAATTAACAAAATGAATCTATTTAAATTGTCATGCAATTATAACTAATGTTACCAACCTTAGACCACAGTTTCATGCGAACAAAGCCTAGAATAGAGCAGTTTATTTTGTCAATATAGAGGCAGAGAGACCGAGAGAAAATAATCATGCAGCAATAGCAGCAGGAGTCATGTTAGTTTGGAAAAAAATAATAATCTTTTTTCTTGATTTCTCAAATTTATTGTTAGTTCTTGGACAATAAACCAAAGGAAGCTAATATTTATATTTGAATAGAGCAAATAAAGCAACCATTATCAATTGATCATTTATCTAACAGATTCAGAAGAGAGTAGGAGACAGACATAAATGACAAAACAACATCGTAATAGTTACCTTTCTTGTTGTTTTTCACTTTCTTGTCGACGATATTTTTCTTCTTGGTACAAATTCATCATATGAGAACGAGGCAATTCCTTCAAATTATAAGTAAAACTATATTTTCTCGAATTTCGAATATAAAAAATACGTTCTCAATTCAATTAATATCGTTAGTAACAATAGTATGGAATTTCATTCATTCATATCTATTGTTTTAATCATTTTCTCAGTCTAAAAAACTTATGTTACCTTATTAACTAAATGATTTAGTGCTTTTAAACCCATTTTTGGTGGTTGTAATGATTGTCTTCTATTGGTATCATTTGCTGCTGATGCTCTTAGACAATAAAACGAAAAGTTCGTATTACTGTTGTCTGTTGTTGTCATGTTTTTAGATTGTTCTGTTTGTTCATTATGTTGAATAAAACATTGACGATTATAAGCGGATGCAACACTAGGTGATCCTTGATGATTTAAACTTTGTATACTACGACTACTAACAGCAGATGGTGAAAAACTATTATTAACGAACAATAATGGTGGTTGAATAGTCTTTGACGATGTATCAACATTTAATGAATTACAACTTCCACTTAACGGTTGTTGAGATGAAAAACATTGTAATGATGATAATGATGTCTGAGATGGTGATTCATTCATTAATAGAAATGAATTTTCAGTAGTAGATTGTTTTACATTTGTTGGACATAAACTATTGACGAAATATAATGCTTTTGGAGAATGAGATTGTGTACTATGTCGTGCAGGTGAATTAGTAACTAGAATGAAAAATAATAATAATCTCTCAATATTATAGACTGATAAAAAGTAGACAGAAAGAAAAATAATTAACATGTAGATAAAAACAATCAAGTTCAATGTCTATCAAATCACTTCAATCTAACAGTTCTACCTACCTAAAGTCTGCTGTGTTGACTGTTCATTGTTTGAATACTGTATTTTCTGTTGTTTATCTTGTTCATCATCATTTTCATCAATATTCGATATGTCATCGCTATCCTCCTCCTCCTCCGCCTCCTGTTCTTGACCCTGACCAAATTCAATAATTTCCTGCTCTGAAGAGCCAACTGTCATCGGGTTTTTTAAACGATGATTACACGAATTTAATTTAAATACAGGATTATTGAATGCTAGAGGTAGAGGTTGTTGTTGCGACTGTTGCTTATTATTAACCCCATTCATCCCATTAATGAGATTTTCTTTATTTTGATTATTATTCACACCACCTCCACCATCAATTGGTGAATTTGATTGAGAATTTGAATAAGAATGATAACCAGATGTAGCAGCGAGAGAGGACGATAACTGACTTAGTGAAATTTGACTACCGTATACAGAGCGATGAGACGACGATAACGACTCCTCTTCATAGCCATCACTGTTCAAGTGAGTGTAAGGATGTTTAAATGGCTGTGGCAGATGATTGTGTCCTTTATCCGGTAAATTTCCTAAAATGAATAAAACAGTAACATTATATCTTTTTCTATCCATCAAAATGTTCGTTTTTATTGAGTGACTTGAATAGATCCGCACAGCAAATAATAGACCGTCATTTCCATCCACATATAAAGAATTACGAAATTAAAAGGTTTCTTACCGGTCGTTGTTGAGTAATGATGGTGAAAATGCACCGAATGTTTTTGATTTTCTTGATTCCAATTTGTCGAAGATGACGTTGAATGAGAAGAAGATGAAGAAATTGTTGAATAATCGGCAGGCGGTCGAATATTATTAGGCATTAATGTTGTTTTATTTTGATGATTACATAATGAATACGGTACAGATGTTTGTTTGACTTCTGCTGTTATAGGATGACTTTTTATTATCGGTGTATAACAATTTGTATTCGGTAGAATTGGACTATTATTAGGTGTATAATAGGATGCAGCATAGTGAGTAATTGACGGTGATGAAGAACCGAGATAGATATGATGATGATGTTGATGATAATGTACATTTGCAGCAGGAACATCTTTTGTATTTAAACATAAAGTTTTCGTCTCTGATATTTCATTCAAAATACCATTTAATTCTAATAAACTGTCACGAATTTGAAAATCAATTTGTTTGAATAATTCAGCCAATGTACCATGAAGAAGAGAATATTCGCGTCCTAAATGCAGATACAAAATAGTCAGTATGAAAATTGAAACACGACTCCATAAAAGCATATAGTGCTTTTCAAGCCCAAAATTATCAAGTAATTTGAACAAGCTCGGAATATGGTTTACAATAATAAATGTACTACTTTCAAAACAAAAAAACTTACCTAAATCAATATCACATTTATTCAATTCAGTTTTCTCTTTTTGTTGTAAACGATGATATTCTTCACAGTCAGGATTAATTGTCTATAAGAAAAATAATTCATTTTCGATTAATCTTCTCCTTATCATGGTTGACTACATTTTTTGTGTTAAACTATCAAACATTTGAACTCACAGATATATTAGCCAAAAATCGTTTCATGTTATCAGATTCTTTGCCAACAAAATCATTCATAAATTTCATATAAGATTCTTTATTACCAAATCTATAAATTCAAATAAAATAAAATAATTATTATATATTCAATAGTTCATTTAAATTTACAACTTGCATACCGTGAAAAATTTGCTAATGTTTGCAGAGTTTTAGCAATCAATGTTAATTTTCTCGATGATTTTTCACTTGGATATTCTAAAATGTATGCAAAAAGAATAACAACAATAATAAAAAAGAGTTTTATTATGAGACTACCTTGTGTAAGACCAAATAAGTTTGGAGACAATATGGCAGGACATAAAAATCTTAAAAATACTGAACCACTAATTAAATTAAACATTGTCTCATCCGAAGATGATTGACCATAATGCCATTGACGCAATGCCCAAAATATTCGTTTTAATTCACTAAAAGGCAAAAGAAAATACCATAGAATAAGTTTCAAATAGTTGTGATAAACATTAGAGCTCTAGAGACATTATAAAAATAGAAAAAAAAAATCATAGTTGATATATCATTTAATAATTTTTCTCTACAAAAAAATCTACCATTATAATGAGAGAATAAAACAGAGTCTCATTTGAATTGACCTACTTTGGAAACATTGTATGTGATTGTTGAATTCCGAGCCATACTTTTTCACATAATACTCTTAAACCAATTTGATTTCTTTCTAAATGTTGTGTATTTGACACACGTCCAGGATCAACTTCAAGTTCATGATCCGTTGAATTATTAACAACAATATCGATAACAAATTTTGTTAAAGTATCTTTTAAATATGTTTCACCAATCAATTTCATATAAGCTTCCATTGCTTTTGTTGCAATTGAATTACCACGAAATGTTAATGTTAAATCGGGTGTACTTTGAATTTCTGCTTTAACAATATCGACAAGAAATGATGTTGAAAATGATAAATATTGAGCTATACGAGTTAATGATGTTGCTAAAAAGAGAAGAAAGAAAAAAGATGAATATTTATGAGCTAAAGATCAGAATACCTACCCAGTTCATCTTTGTCACGTAATGATATATGAGGTTCCAATATACGAATTAAACGAAGATAATCTCGTTCAATATACTAGAAATAAACGTTAAGTATACTTGATAGAAACTAATTCATGATAACGAATTCATGACAAACAAAATAATAAAATGACTAGGAATGAAATCTCTATAAAACTAATTACTTTTTTTTCTCTGTCATGAATTAATATAACGAAAATATTATCTCATCACTTCTTTATGTTTCTTGTACACTTTTTCTCTCTTACTTGTTGTAATTGTTGATATTTATCTAATGGTAAAATATCGATGGCTTGATATTTGGCTTTAATTCGAATATTAAATGTTGTATCACGTATTTTCTCTTTTGAATTTGACGATGTTATTGTATAAACGGGATACCATTGTTCAACAAATTGATTTCCAGTTATCGTTGACAATGGAATATCAACATAACCAATTTCATTGTAACGTTTTTTTCTCCTTTCTAATTCTCGACAAATTTTACAACGTAATACTGTACAACCTAAAATGACAAAGAAAAAAAATAAAAGAGTGTTATTATCTCATAGAAAAAAGATAAGAAAATGAGACAATAATCATATACCTTCTGGTAAACCTTTAAATGTAAAACTTTCACCCCAAAATAAAATATCTCGTCGTTCTTTCGCTGTTGTTTTTCCATAGATATCATCGTCAAGAAATATTTTACAATAATATCTATTGTAAATAAATTTTTATTAATAATTTCTATTTTGTATAAATATGTTCACTTACTTTCGTTTTGGTGGTAGTCCTTTGGCTTCTAATATCCATATATCTAATGAATTATCTGTTCTTTGAGTTGTATTCAAATTTGGATCACATGTCTCTCGTAGACTTTAAAAAAAATTATACAATAAAATAAAGAAAATAAAAAAAACTTCACATTATACAACATACGCATGTATCCATTTTTGACAATCTGTTTCTGTTTTACATTTTAAATATTGTTTACTTTGTGGTGTTGTTATTTGTAAACAATAATTATTATCCAAAACAGATGGATGAAGAGTTCGAATGTGACAATTTTCTAACATTATTTGAGGAGATGATGACGTAGATGCAAATAATGATTCATGAGAACGTGAACGATTTGTTATTGGTACACTAAAATACACAATATTAGAAATATGTTCATTTGGATTAGTGAATATAAATAAAATTCAATGATTTTACTTACTATGTCGTTGGTGAATTGAGTATTTTTGCTCCACTCAAATAACGTTTTTGACGTTCAAGTTTTGTTACACTTTTTGTTCGTTTTAATGATTCAGATGAATTAAAACCATTGCCACCATTATTCTGTTGTGTAATTAAAGTTTCTTTTGGTTTTGTTCGACCAAAAAAATAGGATACTAATTTTGTTTTTGACTGACGAGTGGACGATGTTGATGTTTCAAGTAGAGATGATGATGATGGAACATATTTCGATGAGGAAGAAATTTCTGTCGATAATGTACCAATAGATGATAGACGATCTGTCGAAGAATCTAAAAAGAAATGAAAATTTTGATAATATTTAAAATAACTTATATATCTACTTCTTAGATTTTCTAGATTTGATAAGCAAATATGCTAAATATTTTTAATTAGATAGAAGAATACTCTATATCCAATAAACAGGAGTGTATTTCGATCTGCAGAGCAACGTCGGAGCAAGCACGTTTTTTTTTGAGAATATTTTCCCATTGTATATAGAAAAAGGCAACAATTTCTAATGTTTTTTGTTCTCTTGATGACAATTTGATTGAATATGAATCTAAATAGTTTATGAGTTTGTTTTTTGCGGAGTATCAGCTTCATATTTTTTAGACAAAAAGAAAACATATTTTTCTGAAGAAAAAACAAAAGATCTTCGAAAGAAGGATAGAGATTACTTTCATCCACTTATTTTACGATCCTGTCAATAAACGTATTGAGAATACGTACTGATATAAAAAACAAAATTTTTAATGCACTATTGAATTTTTCGATAAATCTTTCTAACTACTGAACATCCAGTTTTACTTATCGTGTCCATATACATACGTACAGTCAACCTACACTAGTATAGGCTCAAAAAAAGTTAATTGCAAAATGATTTTAGTCATCAAAATATGTTCTTTGTTTCTGTTAGAAGACTGAACATAAAAATGATTTGTATTTGTTATGCAAACAGATGTAAAATTTGGTATAAATGTTATGTAAGATGATTTCATAACATATTTCCTGGTTTTCTTTTTCTTCTTTTTCTGTTGTTTTGTTTCATTTATATTAAAAAGAAATCAAAACTTAACTAATACTTAAAAATCTGCTGTACACCGTTATATCCTTGACTTCGACACTCTTACTCAATGAATATAAACAATCGTTATGATTTTCTTTTTCTGTTTTTTTCTTGTTATCATTTTCAAAAACGAGAAACACAATAACCATTTCTTTTGACTTTCATGAACAAAAAAGACTTCTAAATGGTACTAACTAGTAGACAATCGACTCTTTATTGAACAATACATTTTTCTTTAACATTATTTATTCAAAATTTTTATAACTTATAAATCTCAATCAGAGTTATACTCCAGCCACTTACACTGTTTGAAATAGAGCAAAAAAAAGCAAACAAAAAATGATGAACATTTAATTTAACCTTCGGACGACTAGTCTAATAGTATGTAGTGTGTAGCTATTGTTAACACTAATCATGGACAACGAGTTGTGTGTGTGTGTTTATTATTTGTCTGATCGTTTTAATTATCGATTTCTGTATATATATATACATTTTAATAGAGTGAACGAAAATTTTTTTCACATGTCCTATTAATAAATTCTAATCATAGATGTTATAGGCTAAAAAAAGTTTTTTTTTATTTATAATTTCGTTTGTTGAAATTGATACATGCAGCAATATGTCACAACAAAAGAAGAAGAAAAAAAAAGTTCTAGGCTCTCTAATTAATAAAACAGATGTTCCAAAAAAATATATTTCACACAAGAAAGAATTTATTGCTTGGTAAGTCGATGATTATATATATATAGAGTGACGAACGATAATTTTCGTGTGTATAGAATGAATGAGAATGATGTTATGACCACGTTAAAATTTTGTCTCATTAAAGGTCGTATATAAACACAAAGATATCATTCAATAAACATCGAATGATTATGAACATACTGACCTCAACACAATATTTGGTTAAATAGTCTTGTAATAATGAACACACATTCGATGTGTATGAACGTAGAAAATGTCTATCTTTTAACGCTTAATCGATACACATTCAAGCCTTCCCCCTTCCTCCCTCCTCTCAAAAAAAAAAAAGGATCAATCGGCTAAAAAATAAATGTTTTATCTCAAAATTCTAACTCGCTCATACTTATTCAGCATTCAAATAATCAAAATAAAAAACCTGATATTTATGAATGAATTGTATCTTAGTTTCAGCGAATAGTATTGAGGTTAACAACACTTTCAATAGGCAATAAAATCGAACTATTGTTATAAGATTATAACTGCTACCTTTTTATGGTCATTGTTCGAATGTAATAAAAAAAAAAGTCAGTGGAGAAAAAAAGACAGTAAGATGAAGAATATAGATTAAAAAGTAGACTTCGATATCGATTCTTTTGCATGATTAGCACTCACTAGTCAACTTTTAACGTAAAAATTTAGCACTACTTTTTTCTTTTTCTCATTTGACTACACTCTTGTATATGACATTTTAACTCAAATTCTCGGGAAATGAGACGAACGTTTAAAAGCAAATGTTGAACAATTAATAAATACAATATGACACTCTATTTCTTTGAATAGAATAATTCTAAATGCTAATATAAAAAAACTCAATCATCTATACACTTTTTACATAATCTATGAAATAATAAAATTTATTTTACATAAAATTTTTGTGAGAATATTGTACAAGAAAATATCAATATTCTTTTGATGCTTTTCGAATTTATCTGATACTACTATTCAGAAAAATATAGTATGATATAATTTTTTCATATTTTTCTCTCTTTCCAACAAGATGAACTTGAGAGTGTTTAGAATCCCTTCTTTGTCCATAATTAGATATTTAAGAATAGGAACAGTTTTTTTTTTCTATAAATGTGTGTGTGTATGTGTGCATATATATATATATATGCGATATCTTGTCAATTGTTCATAGTCATTCATCTTTTTTCTTTTCTTCAAATGTTAATGAGATAATAACATACACATATAACTTTGAGCAGACAAATCACAGTGATTACTTGTCAGAATACTTATAAACAAAACAAGAACACCTTTTAACCTTACTTCATTTTTTTTTATACCTCTGTTTTTTTTTTTTTTCTTTTCCCTTTTTCGTTTATTGTTCTCTATGTACAGTAAATATTGTGTAAGATGATGGAATTATCGTTAGAACAACATATCTGCCCACCCATATACACAAAGAAAGCCTACACAAAATAAATCACTATTTTTACGACAATAAATTACACGAAAATTATGTTAGAAAAATATACACACGTTTAAGTAAAATATCATTGAAGGACATGTCTGTCTGATTTGGTTTTAAATTTGTTCTTACACATGAAAGAAGTGCATGTACAGTTGTCTTATTTGAAGATATTCATAGATATAAACGAGATGTTGAGATTAAAAAAAACATCGACAATAGAACGGAATTAATATACATTGATAAAAAGGATGGATAATCGGTGTCCAAATCGATATTTCACTTAATATGTAATGAAATGAACTGAACAACGAAAAAATTTGAAGGTTTAGAAATAGTCAAAGAATATTAAGTGTAAATGAGATCATTTCCATAGGCATACGGATAAAAATGGATGCGATGTCATGTTACTTTTCTAGTAAGTTCAATTAGCCGATTTCTTTTTAAAATACAATGGATAAGACATACAGTATGTTCAGAGAAAGAGTCATTCATTCATAAACAAACATTTTTCTCATATTTATTATATGAGACATATACTTTAATACAGTGAAAAAAAAAGATTAATGAATTTAAATAATGAATGAAACGATCTTCATACACATCATAAAAGTCACTAAGTAATGTGTAAAAAAGACAAAAAAAACGTACAATTTAATTTTTTAAGATATCAATCGAATAAATGACGAGACACTATTATTAAAAACAGGAGAACTATTCATATCATTAAATGAGAGAAAAGAAGAAAAAGAATGATAGAAAACTTTTTTTTAGATAAAATATGGCTATTGTACAAATTGACCAGGTATATAATGAATAATCATATGATATCAAGCAGAAACTTAAGTAGACTGTTTAATTTACCCAAAAACTCATGAAATTTTGTCGATGACAATGGATCCAGGACAGAATGGAAAGAGTCACAATACTATCAAGAGATTTTTTTAGATCAATAACTACCACTCAATAACTTTACATGATAAGCGTGTTTATTAAAAATCTATGATAAAATTTCAAAAATATCCTGTGTTACTCTAACTCACTAAAGAAATTGTAATTGTAATTTGAAAAAATTGACAATATATGACATATTTTTTGTCCATCCTATCAAAGTGACAATTTCAAATATTATTTGTTATTTCAAGGCGTATTAATTTATATTAAAATGAAAAAAAGTACCTTCTTCAGCAATGGGAGGTGGCATTGAATTTCTTCTAAAATCTTCAAAATCATTCAATGTCCATTTATTTAATGTTTGTTGATTTAAATGAGTACTGGATGACCATTTTTTAAACGGTAAAAAAGGCATTGTAGTTCTATTAATTATACGTTAAAATAGATTTTAGAAAATCTTTTTAAATGAGAATATTTGATATTATAAATTAATTACAAATCATTTCAATAGACCATTTATATGTACAAAAAAAGAGATAAAAAAAAAGAGTAAAATACAACAATGAATCGTCGATCATATTCTCTTTCACTTTTATTCGCCTCATTTCATTTTTTTTTCTCTTTCTCTCTCACATTTTTTTTTCTTCTTCTTCTTCTTCTTTTCCTCTGTATTGCTCAGTAGTAAGAGTATACCGCAAACATTTTTTTTACTTCTTTTCCTAGCTATAGGGATAAAAAATAACAACAAAGAGGAAATCTCTCTACTAACAAAGTTGTAGTAACTTCTTTTTTTTTTTTAACAATTTTGACTCAGATATCTCCCAATGTGTATATAACACATCCACAGCTGATCATGAATTTTTCCATTTCATTAAAATTGTCCAAAAGAACATTGAGAGAAAAAAGAGAGGACAACGAAAATGTAATCGGAAACGATTTGTAATAATAATAATAATAATAATAATAACAACAATCAGAAGGAAATCAGAGGAAAAATGAATAAACAAATATTAGCGCATATGTTTTATTACGTGCACCAAAAAACAAGTGTGTATGTGTCAGAGAGGGAAAGAAAATCACCTTAATTGGTCTATGTCCTTGATCAAAATCGGGTATAAAAACAAAAGTACAAATTAGTCAAGTGTTCTCACTGTACTACAAAAAAATGTTTTATCTTCGTGACAATATTCCAATTTTTATTCATATTAAAATTCGTAGTTAATATATGATATGTTAACTTATTTTCTTTACAACCTACATAAATTCATTGACTATACGCCTTTTCTAGTGTCATTCTATATTTTTATCAGATCGTTCTCTATTTTAGTTAAGACATGGATAGGTAAAATTGATGACCTTCTAATACTCCAAGTAACATTAGTCACTCTAATAAACAAATGAATACAAACTCCATTACTCCATTTTTCAAGAGTATGAATGTTTTACATATAAAATACTATTATTGTACTATGTAAATGTATTGTCAAAATTTCACTACGTTTTACAGTATGTTCACATTACGTAAAAAAAATTTTTTAAATATTTCCTTCTTTTGTTTTTTTTAAAATACTTTTTCTTAGATCAATAAAAAGAACGTTATTCTAAATAAACCTGTCAACTAAAAACTGAAAATTCAACAAATAGAAATTCTATATAGTTTTCATCATCCTATATCTCTATCTTTTATATTGGAAAAGTAATAATAATGACTGGTCTTTCTTTTGGTCGATCATTATATGCATGTTATTATTATTATTGTCCATATGTAGATGTGATTATATACTATAGATGAGTGTCTTTACTCTTTTATCTTCTTCTTCTTCTTCTTCTTTTATATCAACCAATAAGTGTCTGTAATGACATATTTCGTTTCGAATTGAAAGAAGAAGGTACAAACTCTAAACTACTTTCTCTATTTCTGTATTGAGTAATATACACAAACATACACGATAGATTAATTTACACTTGAAATGTTTATCGAAAGAGAAGAAGAAATTTATTTATTTATTCCTACATATATTTATATGGGACGGACACAAGTGATTAATATTTGATATAATAAAAAAAAAACAAAAAAATAACTAAAGTATAACGGAATAATTTGTCGGAAAAACAAAACATTGATGCTCATTTTTTCTTCTTTATACTATTGTCTGCCAAGTGTCTATACGATTATCATGCGCATAACTTTTATTTTACACTAGTGTACTATGTCTAGTACATATTTATGTATAGGCACAGCATTCCTAAAACGTTCATTTAGATAAGATTTATGGGGAAAGTGAGAGTAAGAGAGAGAGAAAATTATCTATTATATGCATAACGAATCTTTAATCTAGAGTATGTGGAAGAGAGAATTAAATTATTATATAACAACTACTACTATTCATATATCTGCTTATAGTTAATCAAAATCGAAATAAATGAACTTCGAACATGACCGATTTTGTCTCGTTACGAGTACAGACTCGACTATTTTGTAAATGTACAAAATTATTACATATCAAATCGCACATACAGTCAATTTGACATATGACATCTTTCAGTTAAGTTTACTATCAGAAGGTTTCGTTTTATTCGGACATTGACAATAAAACAAAAGGTTAAAATAATTTAATAATCATAGTGATTTATCTCCTGTTAAGATTCGAATTCGATACATCTTTTTCTTGCTATGCATGCTTAGCACCATAGCTAATAACTTACGAATAAAGAATAAATATAATCATTCTTTGTTACTCAAATTATCAGACAAAAAAACTTTTTGTGTTCGATATTCAATTTTTTAAGTGTGTAAAAATACTCTAAGGTTTCAAAATAAGATCGTTCGATTTCTAATCATCGTCCACAATCTCAAATAATTATTATTATTTCTATTTTCTCGTTATTCTCATCGTTATTGTATCTGTTCAAGAACATCACTATCCAAATTTAGCACAACGTTGCTATGATTTAAAATAATAGAGTTGTGTGAATTTTTTTTGGACAACACATTTTTTATTTCCCATTCCTTCTATACACCTGTTGTGAAGACAAAAACATTCTTTACATTATAAAGTATGTTATGTTAGAGTGTTTTTCATGCTTCCTTAATTGTTGTACATAAATCAATATGTTCACATAGAAGATTGAATGATCAAACGATGGAATATTTCACGATTTTCCTACCCCTAAAACGTTTTTTCTTTCAATTCCTTTTCGTTGTGGAAATGGTTGAATATCAGCAATAGTGAAAGATTTGTTAATTTGAAGAAGAAAAAAAACGTGACAAACGTGGGGACGTATAAGAAAAAAAAAACACAAAATATTGCACTTTAACTCTAAAAAACATCTTCTCTCTCCTTAGACAACTATACCTTACAAAAATGTAGACTACAAAACATTAATAATTTTCGTCTAATCAAGTTGTTCAAAATACAAACGTTACAAATGATGAATTTTCAATTTGTGTTATGACAACCTCAAATTTCCTTTTGTAAGAGACTTTTCACTCTAGATATAGTGTAAAATTTTGTTTCTCTACAAATTCACTGTCAAATTTTTGCCTATTAAAAATAAACAAATAACTTTACATTTATTGTAAAAGTTATCGAAAGAAAAACAGAAAAACTCAATGCTGATATATCTATTTGTGATAAGCATGGCATAATTTATAATTACACTTTGTTTATCAAAATAAGTTAAACATAAATGAAGAAAAAAGATAAGTTTGTTAAACTTGTTAAAACGTAATAATAATGATTGATAATGCGATGCTATGGGATGAACAAATAATCATCACAGTTAAAAAAATTTTTTTTTTTATTTTAAAAATATCATAAACAAATTTTTTGGTTTTTTCTTTTTTTTCTTTTTGATGTTGTTTATGAAGACTTAGTATACATAATATAGAACCTCGAGATATACATTATGTATGCTATTTTGGACATCTATACACACATTTCAATTGTCAACACTTGAAAGAATTATGTCACACACGCAACAAAAAATAAATAAAATTGCACACATATTCTGTAAAGAAAAGGATTTAAAATTATTCAACCACAAAAATAAAATGCTCTTTTTTTTTCTTCTTCTTCTGTTGAAGGGCTTTAGTTTATGTCTAATTCATTCGATTTTGAGTATTTATTGAAGTGATTTAAAAAGCAAATTTTTTGTACATAATAAACGTAAAGAATATTTGCTATGGATAAGACTTTTTTGCACAGACATAGAAGAAAACAAAATATCACAGTCCTTTTAAATTGTCTAGAAAAGTGTTTGACAATCACAAGCCCCCAAAATATGCTCTCTGTTCATTCTAATATATTGTATAGCAGCGACATTTGTCACACTCATCATTATACGAAAAACACGTATATTTTTTGTTCAAAATAAACATTAAAAGTATACAGACAAATACGAGAGATTACGTCGAATATTTAGTAAATTTTCTGTTTTTATTCGAAATACAAATGTCACTTAATTCTAATTAAATTCATTCACTCACTCACCTTTCGATGATCGATGATGTCTGTTCATTGGTGTTAATGCAGCTCTATTTTGTTCAATTTGCGTTGATTCACTAAATGAAGGCGCTAAATGTTCGGATAGTGATGCTAATATGAAAGATGGTCGATGTCGAAAATGTTGTTGCACTGAATTTGAAGATGTTGAAGAAGATGATGGTGATAATGAACAATCAATATTAATATCGACAATAGGAGCATTTCCATTTAAACTCCCAGTTGTAGATAAATTAGATATACCAGAATTTTTTGATGCACGAACACACTAAAATAAGAATCAAAAATGAAAAATGACAGTTAAAAATAATTTTTAGATATGAAAATAAAGTAAGTGATGCCATAGATTATCAATGGGTTTTTATCACTTTAAAAATGAAAAAATATGAGAATAATATGCATATTAATCAACCAATAGACTTTTTTCTCTATCAAAACAAAATAGTAACGAGAATAGAAAAAATTTATTTTCTAACATACGAAAAATTTTCATATTATTTCAAATTTTGATGTTCATAAAAAGTAATAGCTAAAATTTGATTATTTGTAATCTTTTATAATATATTTCTATGTTAAAGGTTAAATCTAACAAGTAAAATTTAAATAATAAAACTTCTAGATTAGTAGACTCTCTATCTTAACTGTATTAAAGTACTTGTTTATGTAAGCATCTTCTACTAACTTTAATCTTTTCTATCTTAAAATTGAGAAGAAAAAAAAATCCATTATTTTCAATTAACTAACGTTGAATATGAAAGATAAACTATTCAATTTTTTTTTTCTTCGTTAACAATATGAACGGAAATCAAACAAGAGATACTTATATTATGATAGATATACCTCTAAAAAAAAAAAACTATCATCTTAATCACAATCAATCAAAGCGAAATGAGCTCTTCCTCTTCTCTTTCTCTCTCTCTCTCTCTCTCTCTCTTTTGCTCTTTATCATCGATGATACAAAATCAAATACAACAAAAAAAAAAATATAGCTCGGGAAGGTCATAATTGTTCAACAAAAAGAATCTCCCCCCCTTTAAACAACAACCTAATCTATCCCCACACATGTTGATATATCTAATCTACACGTAAAGGTTAGGTGACTGATACACCATGTCTTTATAAGCTTTTCGTAATCAATTTTAAATATTTTTGATAAATAACAAATAATATTACAGGTGAAACATTAGAATGAATGATTCGAAAAAAAGATTTGATAGACAACATAAAGTGTGTATTACATCCTGATAGATACTATGACATTAACACATGTCATCTTTCAAGCAAAGTGTTTATCATAATAGAAAGATAAATTTTTTTTTTTTTTAACTTCAATCATCAAATAAAGATCTTGTGGAAGTCTCGCTTGAATCATCATCAAAAAATATCTCTAAATCGTATCTACATTTCTATTCTTCTATTAATTATTAGAAAAAATATCCTCAAACAATTCTGTACAATCTCCCTCAATTAATTGTGAACAAATTAAAATTGTTTGATGTGAACATGTTTAACTTGAGGCCGCGCTTCTTTTCCATAGTTGTTCTTTTATCTCACTCAATAATCGTCCTTGTGCCGTGATCATATGTGTCAATTAAATAGCTGTTATAAACTTGTTCTTTATTTCATTTATTATTCCAAAAAGGTTACATGCATGTACGCATTCATATAGTTTTATGTACATTTTCTATGAAAAAAAAAAATGAGATTCCTTAAAGCGAGTACCACTTTCATACTCACATACATCATCACATCACAAAAAAAGAAACAGGAAACATACGTCGTATATTTGATACTTTCATTTATATATTTAGAGATCAAGTTTTCTTATTTTTTTTTTTTTACATTTGATAAAAAGTTTAAGGTCATATCATATCGCAAATAAAAACGATCTACTCAAAATTATAGACCACTGTGTGTTTATATAATAAATGATGATAGAAAATACAAAGAGTATGAAACATTTTCTAAAAATTAGGTAGAAATAGCCAGTCTACCAATGTAAAATGTATGTACGAAAAAGTCTAGGCAGATGTATGAAAAATATTGTATGTAAACTTCTTTCAAGATAATGAATAAAATAAAAAACCTATTTGAGACAAATATATAAGAGGAATGATCTACGCATGGAAAATATCTTTTCAGCAAGATCTATTTTTTCTATTATTATTTTTTCTATTATTAGAAAAAATAGTCTAAAATTCGCCATTAAATGAATTTAGTAATAGTTTGGCAAGAGAAAAAAAGAAAAACGTTTCTAAACAACGCAAACATTACCGAAAACATATCGATTCACACTAATAGACCACTAATAATATGATCTCATAAGTAAAAGTAACTTTTAATAAACACTACAGAAGCGAAAAACGTACAGACACACATACACAAGAGAACATATGAAACCCTAAACAAAAAAGGCTTCTTTTTCTCTTTTCTTCATTTAACATTTTAATACGAATATAATGCGAATAATAAGAAAGAAAAAATATAATGTTCTATAACTGACAAATATTTACTTTTGAATTCATCTTGGTTCATGCATTCTTACGAGGGAACCTCTTTGCATTCTTACGAGGGAACCTCTTTAGGTTATAAATCGCTTTTGAAACCGTACTACTTGTATCTTGTAGACCTCAGTGAGTAGTGAAATACTCTAAGCTGGTTCATCCCCGTGGTGCCTTG